AGAGAGAGAGAGAGAGTAAAGCTGAGGGCCAAGCCAAAACCTAGTCTGGGAAAGTTTCAGCCACTAACTTTGCTGCGTGGGGTGATGGGAGACAAATCGGTCCCAACTTTTCAAACCACCTCGTTACCACTAGAAAGAGACACGTTTGAAAATGTGGAGGAAAACGCTAAACAGAATGAGCGCACACAACTCTTCCCCATATTATTATTTCTATTTCTATTTTAGGTTAGCATTCAAAGTAACGCTTTTCACTAGGGCATCTTCATACATATGTGGTTGCACAAACTCTTGAAAAGCATCCAAGAAACAGCAAAGGGGGAAATATGTCGGGGTGCGGGGGGAGGGAGAGGGTGAGGGCTGCAGTTCGCGTTTTCCCTCTGAGGGGGCTGGGGACTTACCGGAGGGCGGCGGTGTCAGCGCCATTCGCTCCTCCTCCCCAGGAAGGACCCGCCACCCTGGCTTTTTTTTTTTTTTTTTTTTTTTTTTTTTTGTGGCTTTGCTTGTAATTTCCACTACGGGTTCGGAGCTGATCTGACTGCTTGCTTTCATTTGCCTGGAGGTAGTGAGTGTGTCTGGGAGGCTGAAGGTAGAGCCCTGGCCTTGCCTCTGCCGGGCTGGGAGACACCTTCCCAGGCTCTTTCCGGAAAGCGATAGAAGGATCCTGCGGGAGACCTCGCTCTCAGGCTCCGAGTAAGCAAAGAAGATGGGGGTTGCCAGTGGGGGTCGGGGAGTCTGGGCACCAAGAACTTTCTGCCTTCTTGCCAGTTATTTCCAGGAGCATTTGCCTCTTCTCCCAGATGGGTGCCGGATGCGGGTCCAAGTTATCTCTTATAAGTAACAGGTGCCCAGTGACTAAGTACGGCAGGACTGGAAGCTTCCCTGGGGATTATCTGGTTCCCGACGCTTAGCATACTGGCTCAGGCCCCAAATGGCAGAGCTGGGGCACCAGGAAGCCGGGGCGCCTGCTCCTAGGTAGTTAACCAGATATAACCAGTCCGCTTCTGCTTTGTGTCTTCCGTGTGTTGGGAACTCCTGTTCATCCTGATGGAGTGGAGTTCCGTGGAGTATTTGAGCTCACAAGGAGTGAGAGCCGTTATAGTCAGGTCCCGTTCAGGCTGAGCCTTACCAGAAAACCTCTCCTGAGTGGCTACGAACTACCACTTCCCCAGCTCTTAGCATCAGCTCTCTGATGCTCTTACTCCCCAGCCAGGGACTGCCTATGAGCCTCATGATCTGGGCACTTCTGGGCCTTTATTGCAACTTTTAGTGTCAATGGGTCTCGCAGGTTCGCCAGCCTAACAGGGTAGGATAGGCAGCATTGACCCGTTTTAAGTTGAAGGAAATGCAAGTCCAGAGACACTGGAGCCACGGACTCACTAGTATTTAGCTATTAAATTGCAGCTGAGATTTGAATGTATTTTTTATGGCTCCAAGGCTTCTTCCATTCAGCATCTCCTATCCTGGCTAGTGAACAGATGGGACCATCTATGAGGGAAGGCTGGGGAAAAAGCCTGGAAAGGAGGATGCGTTGGGTGAGGGCTGGATGTATTATCTGCCCTGTGTTTTCTGTTTATTTTAGAGTTTATTTTATAGATATTTACATTTTATTTTCTAATTTTTAATTAAATTGTAATTGATACGCACTAAAATACGCAAATCTTAAGCATTTTGGTTTAATGAATTCGAAGGGTTTGTGGATGCAGTGGCTGAGGTCACCGTGTGTGTGTGTGTGTGTGTGTGTGTGTGTGAGAGAGAGAGAGAGAGAGAGAGAGAGAGAGAGAGAACTTCTTTGTTGCTGATGATGTCTCAAACCCAGGACCTTGTGTGCTCTGAGAACTCCCTCTACTGAAGTTACATCCCTAGCTTCAGCTGTTCTAGTCCTCTCATACCTATCCCAGCCCCTGATATTCTACCACTGAGCTAGACCCTGATCCTCTGAGCTGGGCAGGCCTTGAGTTCTCTTTAGATCCTCCTGCCTCTGCTTCCCAAGTGCTGAAATCAAAGGTATGCACTACTGTGCCTGACATAGCTGAGGGAGGTGAATCTTTTTGTTTTTGCTTTTTTTTTTTTTTTTTTTTTTTTTTTAAAAAAAAAAAAAAAAAAAAAAAAAAAAAGAGGACTCACTATGTAGACCAGACTGGCCTTGAACTCACAGAGATCTGCTTGCCTCTGCCTCCTGAGTGCTGGGATTAAAGGCATGTGCCACCACGCTCAGCTTGTTTTGTTTTAAGCTTGATGATCATTTTATAAGTTGGGAAGAAAAACAACAGGACAGGCAAGAGGAAGAAAGCCATACCTTTTGTGTTAAAGTCCAAGGCAGGCTTGGCAATGGAGGTTTGTAAGTGGCTATATGGAGTAGGGGGTATCTTCAGAGAAACAGAAAGCCCAGAGGGTCAGGGCACGCATGGTTAGGCTTTTGGCTTATAGCCAAAGAAGAGACAAAAAAGGACAAAAGGAAAAATTATGCTTTTTGAGTTAGAACTCAGAAAATTGAGCAGTGAAGATCTGTAGTCGACTGCGTAAGTACCTATCTTATCCAAGGAGACAATACTTTCCCACATTTCTTCAGTGTAAGTTCAGGGGTATCAGCTTTCCTGAGAGGTGGTCTGCTGGCCTGTGATTGACAGGCCCAGTTTTATTAACTCTTAAGGGAAGGGACTATAGTATGTAATGGTCTAGTCTTTGGGACAGATTACAGTGCCATGTCTCCACCCAGGGCCAGAGGTAGAACTCAGATTCTGTTCTTCTGACCTGGAGGATCCTTAATGGGTTTCAACAAAGTCCTGATATCTCCACCTTCCCTTTCATATGGCATTAAAATTTTTTTTTGATCTATTAATTTTTTATTTTACATGTATGAGTGTTTTGCCTGTGTGTCGTGAAATGCCCAGGGAGGCCAGAAGAGGGAGTTAGATTCTCCGGAACTGGAGTTATGGAGAGTTATTACCCACTATGTGGGTGCTGGGTTCATCCACAAACCTGGGTCCTTTGCAAGAGCAGCCAGTGCTCTTAAATACTGAGCCATCTCTCCAGCCCAGCTATGTCTCTTCTTAAGAATTTTTGTTGTTGTTGTTTTTGATACAAGGTCTCCTTGTAGCTCCAGCTGACCTGGAACTCACTATGTAGACCAGAGATCTGCTTGCCTCTGCCTCCTGAGTGCTAGGATTAAAGGTATTTGCCACCATGACCAGCTTCATATGGTATTTTAAATCTTAAGGGTAGTTTAGTGTGGTGGTCCATGCTTTTGGTCCCAGCACTCAGGAGACAGAGGCCTGTAGTTCAAGGCCAGCCTGGTCTACATCATTGTGAGTTCCAGGACAGCTGGGGCTGCAGGGAGACCCTGTCTCCAAAAGACCGAAAAAAAAAAAAAAAAAAAAAACCTCAAAAAAACAAACAAACCATGAGAGGTTAGAGAGAAGGCTCAATGGTTAAGAGCACTGGCTGCTTTTGTAGAGGACTTGGGTTGGTTACCAGCACCCACATAGTAGCTAAAAACCATCTGTAATCCAGTTCCAGGGGATCTGGTGTTCTCTTCTGGTTTCCATGGGCATTGCATGACATGGGTGATATTACATAGGACTGTCCTTCAACCAGTAGACTATGGACAGATGCTATCGTCCCAAGCTTGTTGCACCCACTTGCCTAGGATCATCACAGCCAAACTTGTTGACTGATAGACTCTGCAAGAAAGGAGAGGTGGCAGGGGTCAGCCATACCTCCTGACCAAGCTGTTGGTCTTAGTTGCATGCAGGGTATATAAGCTGCACACCTCCCAACCAAGCTGTTGGTCCTAGTTGTATGTGGGGTATATAAGCTGTAGGGAGGCCCTCTCACCATTTTATGTAGCTGTAAGGAAGTCGGGATCCATGCCTGGATGGAGAAACTCCAGTGCAGCCTTAGGAGGGGCGCATCCACACTTCTGTGTGTAAACTCTCACTGCTCTGTAAGTAAACCCAATAAACGCATTGTTTTTCCAGACTGTAGTTTGACAAAATTGTACCTCAGCTTGTCATAGGGACCAAGGGAGGAGGGGTTTGGATGTCCTTTGTGCTCCCAGAAGGAATTTTAGCTACAATTGGTGTAGTCTTCAGGGTACCACAAAACCAAGGATGGGTTCGGGAAGAGTGATGGTATTATCTCTTGATACGGGGAAGGAAATCAACAATTGAGGGGAAGCTGGGTAAGGGGAGAATGTTGGCAGAAGAAATTTTGACTTGATGGGCTATTCCTATAGGGCTGGTAGGGGTAGCGGCAGTGACATGGGTAGCCCAGTGGTCTAACTAGGGTGAGGTTGCCCAGTTGGACAATGTCAATGGGAGAGATCCTGGGATCACAGCCCTCTTGTAGGGAGATAGAGTGACATGCCTGCTTGACTGATGGGGTCTGTCATGGGAGTATAGAGATGCTTTGAGACAGCCAGAGGTCTAGAGCAGACATTACAAGTCCTGGGAGTATCTCACGAGGGGAGAAAGTATCACCAAGCAGCTGTAGATGCAGCCTGGTGCTCCTGTGGTAGTAAGGGATA